ATGGGAAATAAAGAAAAAGAAAAGAAAAAAGAAAAAGAAAGAAAAATACAAAGAAAAAGAAGAGAGAAAAAAAGAAAAATATTAAGAGAAAGAAAGGGAAAAAGAAAATAAAAGGAAAAGGAAATGAGAAATGGAAGACATCAAGAAGGGCTGGAAGCCCTCTACTCTGAAGACAGGCTGGTAGAGTTGGGGTTGTTCAACCTGAATAGAAGTCTCAGGGAAGACCTTAGACCCCCTTCCACTGCCTAAAAGGGTTCCAAGAGAGCTGGAGAGGGACTTTGGACAAGGGCATGGAGTGACAGGACAGGAGGAAATGGCCTTAAGCTGAAGGAGGGTAGATATTAGGAAGAAATTCTTCCCTGTGAGGGTGGGGAGGCCCTGGCACAGGTTGCCCAGGGAAGCTGTGGATGCCCCATCCCTGGGAGTGTTCAAGGCCAGGTTGGATGAGGCTTGGAGCAACCTGGGCTAGTGGAAGGTGTCCTTGCCCATGGCAAGAGCAGAGGTGGAACCAGATGGTCTTCAAAGTCCCTTCCAATCCAAACCACTCCATGATTCTGTGATTCTAAGAAGAAGAAAGTGAAGATGATAAGAAGGAAGAGGAGAAGGAAGAAAAAAGAAGAAGGACGTGACAACAACAAGGAGAAAGATGAGGAAGGCAAAGAGGAGACACTGAGAGGGAGCAGGGGCAGCAACACAGGCCTGGACTCGGTGAACCATTGACCTCGAGCAGATATCCATGATTTCCCAACAGCCAGGCTGGATGCAGGGAGGAGGCTGCCCATTCCTGGAGCTGTAAAGGATATATTTAACACCTCTCCTTAGTGATGCTGGGTACACTACACCAGTGGTGTGAGACACAGCGGTGTCACCCAGTGGGTCACTGCCTCGGGGTCTGGAGTGATTCAGGAGCTGCTGGAGCTGCTGCTTTACAGCCAAGGGCCTCACCTTGGGTTGTCGACCTTTGTGTCTATAAACTCCTGTCTAGATCGGTGGTGTAAAAGACTACCATAAATTCAAAGGAATAGGAACAGAACACCTGACGTCATCACAGGTCGCCTTTTTCATTTGTTTCTGATTTAGTGTGGACTTTCTTAGCAGAAATCACCACAGAGGCAGCCAAGGGCTTCACAGACATTAAAAGAATAATAGGGGTTTTGGGATGACAGGCACAGAGGGATGAGGTGATTCCTCAGGAGACACACACAGTTATGTAGAGATGAAGATCAGGAGATTCTCAGATGTGCTTGCATTTCAAGGATGTTTTTTCCTCTTCCCTGAAAGGCACTAAACCAGTGCCCTCTAAACGAGAACAGTCTGACAGTGCTTTACGTTTCTGAGCACATTGTTAAAAGTAGGCAGAGCTCCTCTTTGGTTAAGGAGCAACCTGAAATCATAGAATCACTGAATACCCTGAGCTGGAAGAGACCCACAATGATCAATGAATCCCAGCTCCTGGGCCTGCACAGCACAGCCCCAAGAATACCACCAAGTACTTGAGAGAGTTGTCCAAGCGCTTCTTAAACTGTTCCAATGCCTGTTCAAGATCTTGGTGCTGTGACCACATCCCTGGGGAACCTGTTTTGGTGACCAGCCACCCTTTGGGTGAAGAACCTTTCCCTAATATCCAACCTAAACCTCCCCTGACAGACGTTGTGTCATTACATGACACAGCTGTGACCTGTCACACGACCTGTCATGACCTACAGAAAATCCTCCAGCAGAACTTGAGAAAGGCTGGTTTGGTATTTGGTGGTTTCCAACAGGAAAAAAAGGAAGGGAAAAGAGAAGAGGCAAGGAATGGTTCAGAATTTCTTAATACACTAAAAAAACCCACCCAACCAAAAAAAAACCAAAAAAAAAAACATGAAAAAAAACACACACCACCCCGAAACAACAACAAAAAAGTTAATTTTACCAAAATTTCTTAATGCAATGAATCTTATGCAACTACAATGTATGCACGTAAATATATAAAGTGGATCCTTGGATAAAACTTTGGAATGTGTTGATTGATTCCAGAGGATATTCAACACATTTGGTGTCTGCAAGTTTGAAACCCAGAGGTGGATGGAAGGTATTTTCATTCTCTCCTTCCCCTTCCCCCGTCCAGGCAGAGACAAAGCATAAGCTTAACCTTGGTTAGACATCAGCAAATTCACACCTTGAAAAGACATCTGCTGAGAACAGAAAAAAAACCTGTGACTTCCCTCGCTGTTGACATTTAGGTTCTGCTGTCTGAGTCCCTGCTACTTTTACAAAGGGAGAAAATTATCTGTTATTCACATCAAAGATTTTAAGGAAATACTCAGAGTGTGACTTTTGGTGGTGTTAGAATCAGTCTAGCGAAGCCTAGGGAAAGCTCTGGAGAGCAGAAGTCTTCCTGCTAAAGCTAGTGATGGTAGGACAGACGGAGAAGCCTGCCTGAGACTGCTTTCTTTAAAAGCCAAAATATTGAGAACTGAAACAAACAAACAAACAAAAAGAACCAAAGAAAAACAACCTTACAGCTGCTCTGCTTGGTTGGGTATTTTTGGCCAAATCTTTTCTTGTTAAAACAGCATGACCCCTTTCCCTTCCATGGGGATTCCCAGGCATGATGGGGAACTGCGTTTGGCTCCGAGGGAATAAGTTTGTTTTCCTGTATCCTTTATTGTTTGTAGAAATGACAGGCCTGCCTTTCCTTCAGACACAGCAAATGCCAGCAATCTGGTTTTATTTAGCAGAGAACCTGAGAGCAGGGGTTGGCAGAGCCATTCTTTGCTTCCCATCTGAAATGTCACATGGCGAAAAATCGCAGCGCTCGAGCACAGTCTCAGCGTCACAGGTCTGGCAGAAGAAAAAGAGGCGACAGCATAAGGCTCCACCACATTCCCTCAGAAGTGCTGTCAAACCCCAGCTTAATCCCCTCTTGCATGGGTGAGGATGAAGGGTTGCTGTGCCTGAGAGCGTGGCTCCTTGGCCAGGGGTGTAAATTCATACCAGTTTTTTACTGCTGCTC